ACAGCACTTCAGAGCAGTTATAATCCAATTGCTTCTTCTTAAAAAAATAATAAACAGATTACAACTCATTATTAAAACCCAATGCTTTACTAAAATCTGGATTGAATAAAGGCATGGAAATATCTGCAGGAAAAAAGTATACCTTACAAAAAGTGGGTGCTAGGCTTCACCTCTGACAGAGCACGTCTTTTTCCAAATTGTCTAAATCTGCTACAGTGTACCACATAGGTTTTTTGCAAATTAAATGCAAATTATAATTCAAACAGCTGCTTTCCATACTAGGTCTCAATAAAGTATTAATACTATTTAGGTAACACAGACTTCACTGAAAGCACCATCAAGGATGGTCAACCTTTTGGTGGCCAGAGGCTGCATATGATATGGGGAAGAGACAGAAGTGTGGGGCAATGAAGTAAAATGGACAGGGTTGTCCTGCACACAGAGAACAGCATTTTCTACAGCGGTGCTTAAAAGTTTGTGAACCTTTTGAATTTTCAGTATTTTTGCATAAATATGACCTAAAATGTGATCTGTTCTTCACGCAAGTCCTAAAACTAGACAAAGAGAATCCAATTAAACAAATGAGTCAAAAACAGTATACTTGTTCATTTATTTATTGAAGAAAATGATCCAAAGCTACATATTTGTGTGTGGCAAAAGTATGTGAACCTCTAGGATTATCAGTTCATTTAAAGGAGAAATTAAGAGTCAGGTGTTTCAATCAATGGGATGAGAATCAGGTGTGAGTGTGGGAGGTCCCAGCTTATTTAAAGAACAGAACCCTGAGAATTCACTCTCAGTCTGATCTTCACAACACAGGTATGTGGAAGTGTGTCATGGCTCAAACAAAGGATGAGGACCTCCAGGCTGGAAAAGAGTTTGGGCTCCACCAGTCCAATGTCTGGCAGACAAATGGAGGCAATTTAACACCATTGTTAGCCTCCCCAGGAGTGGTTGACCAACCATGATCACACAAAGAGCAAGGCATGTAATATTTTGGGAGGTCTCAAAGAAACCAAGAGTAATGTCTAAGGAACTAAAACCCTCTGTTGCATTGGTGAATGTTAATGTTCATGAGAATACTGAAAAACAATAGTGTGCATGGCAGGGTTGCAAGGAGAAAGCCACTATTCTCCAAAAAAAACATTGTTGCCCACTGCCTGAAAGACCACATGGATAAGCCAGAAGGCTATTGGAAGAATGTTCTGTGGTTGGGTGAGACCAAAACAGAACTTTTTGGCTTGGATGAGAAGTGTTATGATTGGTGAAAGGCAAACCCAGCATTCCAGCATAAGAACCTTATCCCATCTGTGGAACATGGTGGTGGCAGTATCATGATTTGGGCCTGCTTTGTGCCTCTGGACAGCTTGCCATCAGTGATGGAACTATGAACTCTGAATTATACAATTCAAAACATATCTACAAAATATAGAATTGTGCAAATTCTATAGGAAAATATCAGAGTATCTGTGAACTGAAGCTCATGAGGAAAATGGGTCATGCAGCAAACCAACAATCCAAAACTCACAAGTCATACAGCCAAAAAATGGTTAAAGCAGAGGAAAGGAAATGTTTTGGAATGGCCAAGTTAAAGTCCTGATCTTAATCCTATAGAAATGTTGTGGAAGAACCTGTAGTGGGCAGTTCATGCGAGGAAGCCCGCCAACATCCCTGAACTGAAGCTGTTCTATAAGGAGAAATGAGCTAAAATTCCTCCAGGCTGATATGCAGGACTGATCAACAGTTATCAGAAACATTTACTTGCAGTTATAGCTGCCCAAATGGGGGCACACCACTTACACCAAAGAAGATTCATATATTTTTGCCACACACAAACATGTAGCTTTGGATTATTTTCCTCAATAAATAAATGAACAAGTATAATGTTTTTGACTCATTTGTTTATTGGGTTCTGTTTATCTAGTTTTAGGACCTATGTGGAGAACAAAACATTTTAAGTCACATTTATGCAGAAATATTGAAAATTCAAAAGGGTTCACAAACTTTTAAGCACCACTGTGTGTTTTCCTGGAGAAGGGCAGTCATTCTTCTCAAAAATGATATTAAGTCTATTTTAGGATTTACTCTGCCAATTTTTGGCAAGTTCAGTTAGGGTTTGTTCCAGAGCCTTGAACTGAAGAGAGAGCCACCTAAGATCTTTAATATTATTTTAGGAAAGAGGCCGCGTCCTTTTTAAACTAACTAGTATGATACAATGCTGCCCTCTAGCAAGAAACTTCTGCAAGAGAAATCACAACCAATAGATTTATTAACTTTCAAGTCAATCATGAACAAATTCAACAGTTGCATTTCATTTCTTCAGACTGGAGTACCACACATTCTCTTTCTTCAGATATAAAAGATTCCTTTAGCAATCAGAATCCAAGAGGAGATATTTTGAGTTTGGAGTATGAACAACTCAAGTGATATATAACACAGAGGATACCCATTTGCCTCTAAATGTGTGTTTGTGTGCAATAATCTTTTATAAGATCCCTTAATTCCTTATAAAAGTAATAAACTCCAGATCACCTACATACCTTTTCATGATATGGTCCTAGAACAATCCAGCCACAGAAAGTATAGCCAAGGTATATCATCCCAGCACAACAACAGAATCTGAGAACTTTGGGCAAAGATGCTCGCATTGTTAAAATGAGTACCTAGGAAATTAGGAGAATGGCCATCAGATACCACATGGGAAGAAAACACTACTCAATTGCTGACTCTTTGCTACTTGAGCTTACATTGTAGGTTTGGAAGTAGCCCAAATATCGAATGACTCCAACCCAAACAAACAGAGTAGATGTTCCAAGCAAAATGCTGCAAACATCATAGCTTGTAAGATTCTGAAAAAAGAAGAGAAAAGTTAACCACTAAAATGGGATCAAAGGTAGCTGATCCCTCTTCAGATCTCAAGCAATGTTTGAGAGATTAGGACTCTCTCAGCTACCAGAAGCCAGAAGTAACTGAAGCTTTAAGGCTTACCTTTGCTTTTATTTCCATCTTCATTATAGAGCCAATGATAGTCATCATGTCACTGATAATCACCAAAACATACCATCCATTTATGAACTCTAGGCGATCTGCGTTGCATACATGGCGTTTATACCTCTCCAGAAAAAAATTCACAAATCTCTGGTTTAAAGATTAAGATAAGAAGAAATAGGAAACTGTTTCAAAACAAGATTTACTAATTAACATCACATCACTGCTATGGTAATGCCACCATGTGATCATCACAGGCACTGCATTAAAGCATGTGTAAGATAAGGAACCTGTAGCTCAAAAGTTGCTGAACTACAATCCCAGTATCACTCAGCACTGATTATGCTTGCAGGGAACTATATTTCAGCAAAAATTTCCTCCATCTCTAGTGTATACAGACACTACAGAAGAGAGCTGTTGACTAACTTTGAAGATCTCCTTCTTTTTAAAATTCTGCTTATTTCTGCTGTGCAACTACCAACATTCAGTGTCTTGGTTGGAGAGAAATTTAGCTGTTTCATACCACTCATTTCTGTGTTCAACAATTTACATAGTTTGCCCCATTCATAATGCTAACATGAATTTTTAGCTATGATGTATTGAACCAGCCAGGTTCATAAATACCTCTGAACCATTAATGGGTGGATCTGCATATCACAGAAACAAAATAATCAAACCACCTTATAACTAGCACTATGTGTGAACTAAATAATCAAATAAATAACTTATTTATTCAATTTCCAGTTTTCTTAATCCACTGGAGTAGAATGGCAGAGTGTAGGGAGAAAGGAAGACCAATATTTAAAAGTCCCAAATAGTAATGTCATATTAACATGAAATTTCCTTAATTCTTGTGATTAATAAATAATAATAATAATAATAATAATTTATTGATTATCCATTAGGCCATATCAGAATATAAAATATAAAATACAAAACAGTAATAAGACCATATATTAGAAAATAGCATATAAGACATCAGTAAAAGAAAATGCAAATCATATTTCTGTGTCGCTCCTACAATTGACCCCACTCAGATTCACATATGCAGTTCTCAATTGTACTGTTTTGTTCAGATAAAGGGCTATATTATATGTAATTGTGGATTCTGACTGCACATGAAATATGTTGTTTTAATGTAAAGATCCAATAGGCCAGTTGTCTAATGTGCGGTCCAAAATACTGATCTGTCTCTTTTTTATACAGTTGACAATCAAATAATATATGTCCTCTATCTCTGGAGCTCCACCTTGTGATTAATTAAACAAATCGCATAAATGAAAACAATACGCCTGGATATAGTTGGAAGCTCTGATGATGAGCAATACTGCTTAAAGAATGGGATCAGCAGCTGTTCATTGCAAGAAAATTTAATATATGAATTTCCCATCTTCAAAAACATATCCCGCTATCACAGTTTCAGTCTTAAACACGACCACTGACTAAATTGCAAGTCAGATAAAGTAAGAACAATTCTTACTTTCTGGTATTTTGGAAAAATAAAATGCATGCATTTAAAAAATGAGACTGAGGCATACTTACTTTTTGTAATTTTAGAGCAAGAATAATAGATCGTGTGCAGAGAATCAGGGAAGCAAAACAACTCATAATGACAAACCCATCAAAAACCAAGATATACTGTGTGTTCTTCTGAACTACTAAAGGAGATACAAAAACAAATAACTTAAAGACTTAAAAGGCATAGACATCTCCAAGCCAGTCACCATAAATTAATTGGTGGTAATTTGGTGGTGGTGGTAAATTAACTTAAAGGGAAGTAAGTAACTTCCCTTTAAGCGGACCCTGAACTGAAGCATGGAGACAAATAACTCACAGATCTACAGTCCCTTCCAAAATGTAATTCTCTAGCCAGAGTACTTAAGACACTGTAGATGAAGAATGCTTGCACAATCATATAATTAATATCCAATTAGAAAGCTAGAAGCTTGACTTAACAACTTTTGTATGTAAAAGTATCATTATTCACCACGTTCTACATATATATAGGCAATCCCGATCTGCCTTTCCAGTTGCTTCACCACCTCATTACTTCTCATTTTTAGTAAAAGTGAAATGCAGAAATAGGATTACAGGTTGCTGAATTAGAGAACTCAGATTTTAACAACCTTTTATCCCCTATGTCTTTGTACTGAACCTTCAATTAAGTAGTAGACAACAGCTGCTGAACTGTTATATCACAATGCTATAACAAAATGTTAGATGACCTATAGTTAGTTGCCTCTTCTAAAGTGAAATATGGGGGAACAACAGTTGTAAAAACCAAAAATAATTCTCCATGTGTACATTTTCTGTGTTAAATGGCAATATTAGCTTAGCTTTTATGGTTTTGAGCATTTTTGTTCAGTATTTTATGACATCTTAATCTGAAAGTAAAATCTTGATGGTTATTTTAGACATGCATCTCTCATTGCTGAATTAAGAAAATAAATCCAAGGGAACTTCCCTTCTAGAATAATGACTTGAAAAGGTAAATACTGCTCCTCCAAGTAGCTACTGTTATGCAAGTGCCTATCTATTTGTTCAAGAAGTATGACCCACTCAAATTTTCTACCCTGTTGCCAATATTCAAGCAATCAGTGCCACAGTTTCTAGGCAAAATGGCATTATCCACAAAAAGGAGGCTTCTGTTTTCTTACTCAGGTATTCATGATACTTACAAGAGCCAGATATATTCCACTCTTTACATTCTTGAATGTCAGCATCAGTATCAAAATATATTTTCATTTTACCACTGTGAGCCATATTGTTAAAAGTGATCTGTCAAGAGAAAAAGGGTTTTTTAAAAACTCCCTTTACACACTACAATGGATGTGTACTTTAGATCATATAGAGCACCCTTTTTGTGTGTCTGTGTGCCTTTGAGTCATTGTTGACTCCTGGTAACTGTGTGGAGAAATCCCTGTGATTTTCCTGGCAAGATTTTTTTGGAAGTGGTTTGCCACTGCCTCCTTCCTAGGGCTGAGGGAGAGTGACTGGCCCAAGGTCACCCAGCTGGCTTTGTGCCTAAGGCAGGACTAGAACTCACAGTCTCCCAGTTTCTAGCCCAATGCCTTAAGCACTGCACACTGGCTCTGTACTAAGCATCCTATGTGGGTTAAAAAAAAAAAAAGCTATAAACCTCAAATCTATACACAAGTATCAAAGCAGTTAACTCTCCAGAAAGTAGCTTGACAATGTACTACTTTATGCATCTTTCTGCTATGACTGAAAGACAGCCACTACCTATTTTGTCTCAACCAGTTAATTTATTTCAGTTTTACCCTGAAGACTAAAATATCAGGCAGCTTCATTTTTTTTCAGTCCATAAAAGAACACAAACTTTGTACCTGCGTTGCAGAAAGGCACTAGAGAAATTGAACAACCCGAGAGCTGCTTAAAAAATAAACACTAATTTTCCCATTAAAAAAAATATTTGTAAAATATTACATACAGACCCATTATATACAAAAGATCCTTTGATTGGTAAACAAAGTATCTTCATAGATCAGTGTATTGTCCATTATAGTATATTAAGCTAATGTACAAGGTAATGCATAATATTAAACTAATGTGCAAGAGATGCCATCATAACAAAAAAAAGAGAAAAATATATTTTCCATGGATAAAATATAGAAAAAAATCTTACAGTATTTTCAAATTCGTAACAGTCAGGCAGTTCACGCGTATGAATAGTCTGCAGATCAATGCCTTTTAGTTTAAAAGAAATTTCAACCTGTATAAGCCTGGAAAAAGAGAAACCATTACAATTTTCTTTTTCTTTTTTTAAGGAAACAGAAACTGGCTCTAAAAAACTCATTTTACCTATAGAACTCAAGGTTGAAAAATGATGAATTCTTTAAGTCACTTATTTCCTTAGTAGCCAGATACTGAGGTTCAAAATTAATGCATTCTGGAAGAAGAAAGCAAAAGATATATTTAAATACCTCTAAATATATGACATGGGTTTGAGAAATCTAAAGATGCAATAACTGTAACAGAACATGGTTTCAAAGCAAGCACAGACTATGCAAAAATCATCATCATCACCATCTTCTTCTTTATACAAGAAGCTCAGTTCCAAGATATAGTTTTATATTCTGTAAATCCAGTTCAGTATATAAGCAATATATAAATAATAAAACCAAGAGAAGCAGATAGATGAATAAATAGGTTGAGTCATGCAGTTTATGTGAACTCTGCACAAATAAGCTATCTGGACACCCACTCCAAACCCTTCTTCCAATCAGCTCCTTTGGCTATACAGGTAGTCCCTGTTTAGCAACCACAATTGGGACTGGCAACTCAGTCATTAAGCAAAACAGTCACTAAATGAAACCGGGACTGTGCTTATGATCTTACTTCAGCTTTCCGTTGCTTTACAGACCTCCGAAAGTTGTAAATGCGAGGACTGATCGCAAAGTTACTTTTTCATCACCGTCGTAACTGCGAGCAGTCGCTAAACGAAGACTATCTGTACAGGTTGCCACAATCTACAAAGTACCCCAAAGCCTAAACACAGTCCATGTCAAAAGGTACAGGGTACCCTAGACAATCCCCCTACAGCTCAAACAGCTGAAATGTTCATGGGCTTCCTGTAAGCCTCCCGTTCTTGCTTCTGACTGCTATAGAAAATATAAGCTCCCATTTTATCCAAACCTGGAAACTAAGGTTATCAACCCTGGAACAAGGAAAGACCCCAAAACAAAAATAGGCAATACACATGCCCCAAGCAGGCTCCTATGCCCACAGCTGATCTGGCTAACTGCTAAATCACAGAGCTGCAATTTCCTACTGATTTCCAAAAGAAAGCAAACCAAAAATATATTATATCACCAACCTATCCCCACAATCCCCAACCACTGAAAAAAGTATAATATAAAAGTGTGTCCCCTGGCAGCCTAAAGATTTCCCATTTTTGTTTTTAAGCAAGCTTGAATTATGGTTAAATTTCCTGTCCAAAGACATGTATCAAACTAACCCATGGTTTACTGAAAAAGCCAGAGTCAGACTTTCAGATCAGCAACTATGGCTTTGAAAGTTAATTTCTGGCTTGTCACCCTACTTTTTTTTAAGATAGCCATGCCCTGTATCTCTAACGCTTGATTAAAGGCTTGGGTGAAAAGCAAAAATAATCCAGGAATAAATTATGAAATCACCACCAGGCCATTGGCTCACACATCACACCACGGGTGCAATCAGTGAGCCAAGAAAAAATTCTGATTTCAAGCAGCATATTAGTGTCCTAAAGCAAACATGACAGCACATCATGTCAAAATACCAACTATGTTATAACTCGTAATGTGTGAACCAAGTTTTGTGGCAGAAGCACATCCTGAGAGCAACGGTATTGCTTTGTTTACAGACAATGGGCCCTTGTGGGCCACCAAGGCAAAGAATTACATCCTTTTAACCTTCTGCCACACAAGAGAGAGGAGAACTTTAGTGCACATTATGGGCAAACCTACAATCTGGATGGGCTCAGTGATTAACTGCAACTTTCACCCCCAAATTCTGAAAAACATACAGACCTCAAATGGAGAGCTACAGCATACTTCCGATTCAAAAGTACCTGTTTCAGTAGTACTGTCTATGTGCAAAGTATCATTAGAAGAAAGCATTGTGCCTTTTCTATATTGCTGTTTACATATGTGTAAGCCAGCCAAGTCATCTTTATCTTGCTCATAACCAAGTGTGCCCAGTGATATATTCTTCAGTTGTTGGTACTAGATGCAAACAAAAACACTTGTTTAGGAAAACTACAACCCACACGCTAACAAAACCATGAATAAGTGTATACACACATGGCCCAAGAGCATTTTTTCAACTGTGAGCAGAGTCTGGTCTGAAAGAAGAAGAGATACTCTTTTCTGTAGCCTCAACTTGGATTGTAGGACATCCAGAAATACAGCTCTTGAAACAAGAAGCTTGAAATTAGCTTTGAAAAGATTTATTTTCAAAATAAAGTTGCAGATCCTATTAATAGAAAGTTATTGTATTAATTGCATTGTATTGTATTCATTCACAAACCCTCTTTTGCCCTAATACACATTTACTTAGAAGCAAATTTGTGCAGTTTAAAAGCTTCCTTTTGGGAAAGACTGTTTTGAAATATAATGAAAGTATGCCAAATTTTGAAATAATTCCTATTTCTCTTGACAAAATGGTTGTCAAATGGTTGGATTGTAGCTATGGCCTTAGCAAGTGTGGCCAGTAACCAGAGTGTTCTTTGGACTAGCACATGAACTTAAAACTTTCACTTCTAAAAAAATAGTTGTTGGGTTAAATTATCAGGAAATATCTACAGCATAATCCCAAAGATGTATTTATGAGATTTCTGTACTGAATCTCAGTTTCAGGTTGGAATTCAGTAGAAAAACATTGGTTGCACTTGCTGATGACCCAGGTGGACCCAGGATGGGGGTGATGTGTCCATCCTTGTGTTCCTTGATCTGTCACTGCTTTTGATTCCATTGATCATGGTATCCTTCTGGACCGGCTGCAGGGTTTGGGAATGGGGGGCACTGTGTTACAGTGGGGGATGTCTCCTTTCTTAGCAGCTGGTTCCAATAGGTGTTGATGGGGAGAGAGTTCACACTCTCAGCCCATAATTTGTGGCCCGATGCTCTCTCTCCTCCTGTTTAACATCTGTATAACACTGTTGAGGGAGGTCATCCTTTGGTTTGGGATCTAGTATCTTCAATATGAGGATGACACCCAGTTGTATATCTCAACCCCAGGCTAGCCAAGTGATGCTGTCAAATCCCCTGTTCTTGGATCGTGAGGACCTTCAGACGGTCACTCATGCGCTAGTTCATCTCATGGTTGTATTATTGCAAATGCAATCTACATGGGGCTGCCCTTGAAGATCACTTGGAAGCTATGGCTGGTCCAGAATGCATCTCTGGACGCTTCATGTTTTCTCTTTATTGTTTTTCTGTTTTTTTTTTTTTTTTTAATTGTAAGCCCTCCAGAGTCTTGTAAGAGTCTCCAGAGTTGGGTACCCTTTAAATCAAATAAATAAATAAATCCCACACTCTCAGCTCTCACATACAGTTGCCCACTGAATTGGCCACATTAGCGTTTCCATTTCTAGTCAGACATTTGTGTATGTTTTTCACTCATGTATTCAGATACCATGGATAGACACTTACCTGACTAATTGCAAAAAAGATGCTATCATAGACATCTTGTTGTGTGTACACGCTGCAACTGTAGTCATCTTCATCTACCCCAGAGTAGTTTTTCAGAAATAGGTGCTTAAAAGCCATAGTATTCTCCTCTTTAAAAGAAACCACCAACTGGTTACTCAAACCGAAAAGGATGAGCTTTAAGAGGAGAAAACAGTGTAAGAGGTAAATTGTTTCATATAACACATGCTAAATCAGGCAACAGGTACTTTTCAACATCAGCACCTTAGCTTACTAAATCATGGTTTAATATGGGAAGGCAATGCATGAGGCCCCAGCATTTTATTTGTAGTTTCCAAACCCCTCTCTAGAATGGGCTAAGCTGAACATTTTGGCCCCTTTTTTGTTGAGGGAGAAGTTAAGCCTTGCAGAGGTCACAGGTATCCACAGCCCTTCTTCAAAATCTAAATGTTTAAGTGGCAAACCTCCCAATTTTTAAGGGTGCCTTAAGCCATTCTGCCTTTAAGCCCCACCTCCAAAGTCCATCCAAAAAAATGTGAACATTCAGTTTTGCAGCATCACATTACTGGCTACACCACCATGGATTCCCCTAAGTGGGGCAGAAGGACAAAATGTCCCCCCAACCAAGAAGTTTGCCAACACCAAATTTAGTAGATGTAAAGATGCACGCTCCTCCTCCATTGTTTCAGTCCTCATCTGCTTATATGTGACTTGTTCCCAATTTATTATTCTGGTTAGGGAAATAATTGTAAACCAGGTTTTAAAATGGAATTTAATAAAGAGCCATAGTTATTTAAAAATAAAATACTTCAAAAACTTCCAGTGTACTCAATCATTGGTCATACTAGTGGGCTATAAAGAGGACTTTAAAATACATCTTTTCTGACTGGCCCTTAGCAATGTTGTGTATTTAAAAACAAAGTGAAATTCAACAATATCTGATGGATCAGATTGCCTTTCCCCCTTTAAACAAGGAGTCACATTTTTGTTAAGCTTTTAGATGACTAAAGGTAATAAAATCACTTATTAGGACATGGCAAGGAAGTCTGTATTTTTGTTTTTGGGCTAGTGAGTGTTTTGATTTTGATTTTGTCTTTGTAAGTCTATTCAACTATTGTGTATTTTGATTTTTTTTTTGTTTACTTCTATAAATGGACAGAAAATTACTCCTTCATTTATGGGCCATTTGCTGTTGAGTTTCTGAGCCATGATTTCTGTGGGCTACAAAAAAAGGGGGTGGGGGTGGGGATGATGGGTTGTGGAACGTGAATTAACACTTTCTGCTTTTAATAGGCCAAGACTGAAACACCAGAGTCAGTGTATGGGGAGAAGTGGGTTGAAATATGTAGGAGCCTGACACTCATTTTCAACTATTTTAATATTCAAACAGCATTCTTTTAAAAATTAAAAAAATTTTAAGAGAATAAAAACAATACAAATTTTGAAATAAAAGTAAAGAAAAGTAATAAGTGGAAAAAAGTGCAAAGAAAGAAATAGAGAAGAAAAAGAAAGAAAAGAAAAAGTTATAAAGAAGTGGCTTCCAATATTCTTACAGCAGTTACAAGTACCTTTATATTATACCCTCTCTCTCTAAAGTTACAACATAATTTCTTTCTTTACATAGTCTACCCTTTCCAGTCATCAAACCCATAAATCACAAGTTCATTTTTTTCTTTTTTTCAGCAAAAAGTCCATAAAGGGTTTCCAGTCACTAATGAATGTAGTTATTGTCCTTTCTTTAATCAGACAAGTCAGTTTTGCCATCTCTGCTAATTCTGTCATCTTCACCAACCATTTGTCTATTGTGGGTATTTCCGAGTCTTTCTATTTTTGTGCATATAATAATCTCGCAGCAGTTATCATTTATAAAAACAATCTTCCATAATTCTAATTGTCTATCTAAGGCATTAATTCCAACAATCATTTCTCAAAGGTTCTGTGTAGACAAGGAACCAGTCAGGAACCAGCTTTCTTGGACTCCTGTGACATGGACCAATCAGAGATCAACTTGCCGGGTTCAAATACAACAGCCCAGTCAGTCCCTGTTCAGTTGTCTGGGAGCCGCTGAGAAGTATCTTACAAAGCAGCTCACTTTGCCTGTGAAGATACCAGCCACAACTTGCAGTGAAACATTAGGACACCAGAAAACTAGATCACAGACATTCATCCTGAAAGCTCATCACTGTTTGATTTCTCAAACTGTGGTATCCCACCCCATATCTCATCTCCAAGCATTTTTTTAAATTAACCACTGTATGAAAAAAAATTATAACAAATATTTTCTTTATATTTGAACCCTGATTTATGAGGAACTACATTCACCTAACTACAAAAAAACCTTTACAGTTCACCTTCTCATTTATCTTTACCATCCAAGTCCAACTAAATCATCATGTGGATGTAGAAAGCAGCCATCCAAGCTTGATACCCACCAAGAATATTGGACGGCCACTTACTGAATTCAGAGCCAAAAGGGCTAAAAACTATGCTGGCTAGCAACTGTAGAAATGGCAGTTCCAAAACATATAGAGGGCACCAGGTTGGGGAAGGCTGTTTTAAAACAATCATTACCAAATCAGATCCTTGGTATTTCTAGCTTTACACTATTTATATTGACACCCAGCAGCTCTCTAAGATGTTGGAAGAAAGCCTTTCTGAGTAGGGCTACCAAAGATCCTTTTCACATACCTTATCTTGGAATCAACTTGCAAAGCACAGGTAGTATACTACTGAGCAAAGGCACCCATTTAATCTTAATTCCCTAAATAAACTGAAGGACATTCAGTTTACATTATATGGAAGAGGCATTTCTTTTTCTCTTCTTCAGATTCCTTCCAAGTTTTCATAAATGAAAGCAAATTGTCGAGCAGCATCTGTCTTCATATTCAAGGAATATGAGGAATAAACATTTAGATTAGCAGGAAGACAGTATAGGTGTTGTCCAGTACAGAACAACAAACACCTGCCTTTATACAATTTAACCTAAAAACTAAATGAGTTCCCATTGTGACTGTGCACGTTTATAGTAATACCTCCAGCATCTCCAATATTATTTGCAAAGTGTAAAGATGTAAACTGAATGTCTAATGGAGAAGAAATCTCTCTCTGTTATGTTCTTCCTCAGGTAAGCCTAATACATTTTACTTCTTTATATCTGCCCAGTCTCAAAAACCCATTGATAGTTCATGGATTAAAAAAAAACAAGATATGAAGCAGTAACCTGGGCCACTGTAATCAAATGTACTGTTAAAGGCAAAATTTTGAATTTACAATTCCAACCTTGCTCCTTTTTTTTGTCAATAGGAGTGGCTGACACGTGAGCTGAGAACTCTGGCCTGTCCTCCTCCATAGTACCCAGAGCTGGAAGCTATAGTGTGTCCTTTGCTTAAGATTCTGGCTGTTAGAATGGGGACAAGCTGCAGTTCTAGATTCATATGTCACGCTAAGCAGGAGATTTCTCCATTAAAACCAAGGCACCCTGAATTTGCACATCATACTAAGCCACAACTCTTTGAACCATGGTCTACTGAATAAGTCTCAATCAGCTGGATTTACACATAGTGGAAAACTAAAAACTATGTTCAAACTATAATGATCACCTTATATAACATGCAATACTAAAACCAAATAAACTAGAATGGTTTAGATTATGAATTCAGAAAGAAAATGTCAATAACAAGAACAACTTTTTGAAAGTGAAGATAATTGCTGGGGGAAAAAGATACTAAGAATGATAAGAATTCCAAATTAAGAAATAACAAATAAGGTCCATCCTTCATATTTAATATGAAGTTTTCTGCAGCTGAGCATGGAAGCAAAAAAACCCAAACACTAAATAACTACAATATATACATCTCAGTATGATACTAAATGTACTAGAAAGCTGTTTAGGTATAAGAATAAAATGTGATCATAATCCATTCTTATATGGACTGTTATTTAACCATTTGCTCTGAAATGGACACCTACATTCACATGTATATTTTATTTATTTCATTTATATACCATATCATGTATTATTCAGTGAATCCCGTTATTTACTGGGAACTTAAATCTAGATCCTCAGCAGCACACTGATTCACTTTTTTTTTTTTTTTTGCACAAGCTTCTAAATGATGGAAAATATAAGAATCAACCAAGGAAGAAAGAGATATGAGCCTGCCTCTTAAAAAAAAAATTTTTTTTGCAACATTCACAACTATTTTCTATGGCTGAAGCTATGGTGGCTCAGATGTGAATAACAGTGCCCAGAGCTTCTCCAAAAGCAGTTTAGCCTTCCTCTCTGTTTGTAGCCAATTCATACATTATCCAGGTAGATTCTTCTACACCTACCTTAGCCATATTCAGTGCTAGTTCTTCCCCAGGTTTGGTCACTTCTAGGAGAAACAAGCACAAAGCGGAAAGTAGAGCCCTGGGAAGGAGCAAGCTGTTAGATGGTCCCAGGACAGAGGCCAAAGGGGTCTGGACTGGAATCAGAATTATGTGCCTAGCAAAAGCCACGTCCAAACAGAATCTTGCATAATGCAAGCCTAGGATCTAATCTGTAAACTAGAAGTTTTATTTTAAACGATGGGGGAAAGACAAGGCGAATTAAGTTACACAATGACACTGGTTTATTTTATTTTAATGATATGCCATATTGTAACAACTTTATTAGGCAAATGAACAATATACCTCAACAAATAACCTCTATTCACCTTCACCCTCCACATTAAAGGTTTCATGGCAGTAATTTCCCAAGATGTCAGTCAGTCTGCCCCAGCCTTGCTGTTCAAAGCTCTTTCTCCAGAAATCCAACTGAGAAGAAGATGCAGGACATTAAATGAACTCTACTAGATTAGGCCAAACATTTATCCAGCCACTTTCCACATTGGCCAAGTCAGATATTAACAAACCTATAAACAAGTAAGAAATCTATTTGAAAAATAACCATTGTCACTTTTGTTTCTTAGTTCACTTAGATCACCGAACTAAGGTGTCTTTTGCATAATTCTCTTCTTTCATGGATACCTACAGGGTAACATCTCACATTTTCCCCTAAGAAACAAGTAATTCAGATATATGGTGGCTTGTAATGGACCACTCAGTGAGCTTCACGCATGGGAAAATACTGAATACAGCACCCTTTGGTACCCTCCTGACATACTGAACTGCAACCCCCATCTACCACCACCATTGGCTAAATCTTCTTATCTAACATTTTATGTTCTATAGGCACTACTATATATCACACACGTTGTGAGAAGCATAGACAGCTGGAGACTTTAGCTTCTTCATTATAAACCAAGTAGTCTAGTTCCCATAAGGATTTTAAGACAGCAGCATCTGTTATAAAAAGCATAATTTTCAGGCATTAACTCTGAATAGCTAAAACAGGAATATGGAACTGCATGGCCTACAGACCAAATTCAGGACACTGTTTGTCCTTGAGCTTAGTCAATGAGCTGCTTCTTTAAAGAAGGCACACTGGTCATTGTGACCTGAAAGGTACTTAAGCCACATTCGGACAGCACAGCCCAACATTGCACACTTCCTTTCTCCCATGACATCAAGGGATGAAAGACTGACTGACTGACTGACTGACTGACTGACTGACTGACTGACTGACTGACTGACTGACGGATTGGCCACCTTTGGCCTTTGATTGCTATGCCAGGGCTACCATCTAATTGAGTTACAACAGAAAACAAAATATGATCTGACTTCATTTACATTAAGTGATGTTCCATGTAATTAATATAATTACTCTTCAGACATGGACATTTATTTAATATTGTAATCCTCTGTCACAATAAAAACTACAATTTTGTAACAACTATTCAAGGTCAATGGGGAACTGCACACACAGCTTTTAAGAGCCCGCACTGGCCCTCGGTGCCTCTGCTTTATACCAGAAGAGAAGGCTTTACACTGAAAAGGGAAAAGAGGGGAACAGAAAGTTGAGATGCCTTTGAAAGCATGTGGCAATGAAACGGTTGCATATTATTCAAGGTCTTTCAAGATGGGACACTACTCAGGTTCTCCCGTATGACAGAGAGAGAAAAGGCGGGAGAGAGAGTGAAAGAGGAGAAGAGAGCCTCTGAGTTCGGGTTAGACTATGTATTCCATGTTTTCATAAGTGCCGGAAGGTCCACTGAAGTACAAAAACATAACCACACAATAACTAGTCAGCCTTCCTATTAGTTTTTTCTAATGGCCCTTGATTGAAAAAATAATTTCCTCCACCTGAATTAATGGTTAATCCTGTAATTCTTGTGACGCAAGTTAAAGTAACACATACACACAAAACAGGTCAGGTGGTCCAAGGCTTCACAGCAGGATAATTTATTTTTCTACCCACAATTGACCCCTCTGTTGATATTTAAACTGAATAAGACTAGAAAGACCAAATGCACTAGGAATCGATTCACTTGCCAATTCACATATGTGAAACACCAGTATATAATATTAACACGAGCATCTTTTAAAATGTTACCTGCGTAGTAACCATAACTATCTTCAGAATCTGAAGCCCCAGTTTCCATGGTATCTGATGTCTAGCTCTGTATTTTTCACACGGATTCATAAAGTAGAACTTTAAATCCTCCTTTAGTGAGTCTTCTTCCTTGAAATCTGAATCTGGTTGAGCCATCATACTCCTGCCATAAAAAAATAAAAATAAAAGGTTGATCATTTTAAAAGCAACCAAATACATTTTGCACACATACATCCTGCTTTCATTTCGAAAGTTAACAAATGAAACTATCAGATTAAAAGAAGGGAAATTACCCTTTCTGTTTGGGAACAAAAGGAAGGTTTCTTGAATCGCCCAAGAGTAGCCTGTTGTACATGGCATTTTAAACAGCTTGGTTCCTGAAAGCACTAGCAAACATTAATATGAAATAAACAAAATTGACCCAAGGTAAGTAAGAGTATTCAGTCACCTGGATCTGTTTGAAAAAGACTGTCTAGTTCTTAAGGGATTTTCATGGTTCTTTGCTGTAACTTCGATCCAATTTACACATTACATACCAGGAAGTTGGCCTATTGCCCCCCCCCCTTTAAAACTCTCTCACACACAGGATCTGTAGGATCCAAAGTCCCATTTTTCTGAGCCAAGCATTTGGGGATTAGTAGCAGGAAAACTAATTCCTTTTTCCCCCTCCTCTTCCTTCACTGAAAACTGCATAATATTCTTATTCCAGAAGAAAGTTCATCAAAGAAAGGGGGTGTTAGGATTATCATACTTACAATTCTGTAACAGGTAACCCGGCCCCAAGGCGCTGGTAAGGAGGATTCTCATGGTAATCCCCCAGCATGTCATTGGATCCCCGCATTGGATCTTACCAAGAGAAACTAGCTGACACAATAATCTGTTTCCTTTAACCTTTTTGCTATATTTGGCCTAGTAACGCTGCACAAACAGTAGGGCTGTAAAACATGCCTCGGTTGAAGGATTGAAACCAAAGGTCTCTGTGGTTGTGTATTAGCCGCCTATCTCCTGACTAAAATTATTACACTGTGACACCCACTATACTCTTCCAGGAAGCCCAAAACAAATACTTAATTCTGCCTGATGCCTCGGATCTCAAATCCCTCAAATGCACCTTGCAGAAACTACATGACCTGCATGCTCAACTGAACTGGAGTTAAAGAACATGGACAGGGTCCAAACAGGGTGCACAGGCCACAAGCTAGCTACATAATTGCAGGCAAAATGTAAAACTGTTCTGAAACTTGGCCCTTGGATTTATAGGCTGTACACAACATCACAAATATAACGTTTTACATTATGTGTTGGGTTTGGATTTGGCTTCATGTATTGCACAAACTAGCCACGGCAGCTTGAAAACCAGAGTTTATATTACGAGAGACAACCTCTTTGCTACAGGGCCAAGTTCACAGCCTTTAAGAGATGGAACTGTCCAAACCATGTTTGAGGATGTTGATGGGCTTCAGGCAAAATAGATATGTTAAGTCTATCAGAGATGGAACAGAGATATTTAGTGTTTTTTTTAAATAGAAAAACACAAAAAACCAACTGATTTACAGTTGAACTTTGGCAGAAAATCTTGAGAAACTCTGCAGGCCATAAAAATTGGGCAGAGTCTGAACGCACTGGTGATCTCTTGTTTGTGGCTGAGCATATCTGTGAGCCCAGCCAACTGTGGCTTAGTCAACAAACCTTGGTTAAATAATCCATGTTGAGCATGACCTGAGAAGCCAGCCAGTGAATTACTATGTATTTCTTATTTGGCAAATCGAAATAAGAAACTGCTTCAGAAACCTTCTACTCAAAACCATTCAGCATTGTGAACAGATCTGAGTTTACCCTTTGATAGTTATGATACAGATTTACAGTATCACAGCTGCAGTGGCTTGGCTAGTGCGAGATTCCTGTAGCATTTATTTATTTAAATAACATATATAGCTGCCTACCTCACAGCAGAGACTCTGAGTGGCACACAGAAGATTAAAGCTTTAAAAAGAGGAACATAGTATTCAAAATACATGGCATATATCCAGGCTCTAAAAACATTTCATTTTTAATCAATAAAAACCAAAACAAACAAATCCACCATCCGGACTGGTTTAACCTCCCAGCCCAAATATCTAAGGCAGTGTTTCTCAACCTTAGCAACTTTAAGCTGTATGGACTTCAATTTCCATTGCTGGCTGGGGAATTCTGGAAGTTGAAGTCCATACAGCTTAAAGTTGCTAAGGTTGAGAAACACTGGTCTAAGGTAACATCCGGGTCTCTCAAGCCTTATGAAGAACCAGGAGGGTCAGGACCATCTGGATCTCTGGGGGGATATTGTTCCATAGGGCAGGCATTGCAACAGAGAACTGACCCTTAGGTCCCACAAGATGACATTTCCTAATAGAAGGGATCTAGAGCATGCCAACCCAGTTGGTTCTGGTGTGGCAAGCCTATTTCTGTGACATTTCTGGCCTCCTTCCAACACATTGACTTGTGCAAATGCTAACTTTATTTAGAATACTTCATAGATGCATACACAACACACTCCTCCCTTTAGGGTTAAGCAGCGTTATGCAGATCACAGAAAAGGAGTAGGAAGTATTAACCCAGGAAATTAAAAGCATGTGATCAGAAAAAGAAAGTGAAAAACTATGCTTCATTTACTGTACTTCTCTACACCTGTGTTTGCCAACCATCCTTGCTTCTGCTGTATCCATACATCACTCCACTGATTGTCCTTTGTTCCTTAACCTTCTCACCCCTCTCTTTTTCAGGATCTCATCAACTTTATCCAAACACCACTTTCTCAGCCTTTCCTTCCTCTCAACCCACTTATTCTTCCTTCATATATTTGATTTGCAATCCACTCCTCATTTATTCTACCTGATCAAATGTAGAGAAATATAACCTTGGTGAAAATATGCAGGTGCTATTAAGGGAGCATAAAAGAGAGCCAGTTCGGTTTAGTACTTAAGACTCTAGGCTAGAAGGCAAGACACCATGAGTACTAGGCCCGCCTTAGGCATGAAAGCCGGCTGGGTGACTTTGGGCCAGTCACTCTCTCTCAGCCCCCATCGTCAGACTCGGGCGACAAGCTGGTTGGTCAATTCCTGTCACAACCAATGGATCAACATTTGGGAAAAATGCTAGGATGAAAAAAAAAATTAAGGGAAAATAAAAGGTAACTCAGTCCTGGAAGGTGCAAGAAGGAAACTCCAAATAACCTCACCTTGATTCTGTTTGATCTAAGAGGTAGCCAAGGGCAACACTGGCAGGTTTTTTAAAGATTCTGTTGTTATACCCTCCAACAACAATCCTTGCAATGTCAGTTTCCTGACCTGGCCTACCCTGAAGGGTTGACATCAAACTACCTCAACATACCTTCCTACTGGCCACTCACTTTCATATTCAACTTGCATTCATTCAACACTCATTCTTTACCCTAGTTCTTCTTGTTTTACTATACAGCTTTTTGATATACCCTATTCTCAATGAATTCAACTTACTTTCATGTTTCTCCTGACATATCCAACTCTCACTTCTACTTAACAAAATGGACAGAAGCACACTATTATGCATACTTATTTTCTCTTCTGACAAACATTCATTCTTCACAACACATACCACCCACTATCTAACAGCATTTGCACGCCTTAAAACTTCTCCACTGATTGTCCCATTCTTAGTAAACACTTTACCAAAGTACATAAATTCATCCACTTGTTCAATTTTTTACCATGTATTCATAACCTACATCTGTTCACTCCATTTTTCTTGTCAAACACAGCTACTCTGAATTTTGATACATTAATGTGCATCCTGTTGCATCATACAATCTAACATTTGCTGCAAAACATTTGGGCTCTCAGCCAAAATATGGCATAATCTGCATACAAAAATACACACACATTCATGTTGCCAACCAAACACTTTTAACATGAGAAGCATTCCTTACTAAACAATCAGGGGGATATGACACATCTTTGTCTTATTCCCTTTTCAATGTTGAAGAATTTGCTAATCTTTCCATTTATTATCATACATGCTTTACTTCCATCATGTACTGTTCTTCTGCACTCCGCAACCAACCTCTGCCTCAACAGATAGTCCTCATCTAATGACCACTTGTTCAGTGACCATTTGAAGTTACGATAGTGCTGAATGAGGGAACTTATGACCGGTCCTCAAAGTTGCAGCCATCACAGTATCCCCGCAGTCACATGATTGCAATTTGGATATTTGGCAACCGGTACGCTATTATGACAGTCACAGCATCCTGCAATCACGTGATCACTATTCATGACCTTCAGCTCCAGCTTCCAACAAGCAAAGTCAACGGAGAAGCCAGCAGGAGGTCACAACTCATGGTCATGGGACATCTCAACAACCACATGTGATTTGCTTTATGACCACTACCCAAACTGCTGTTTTAGGTTGGTGTGGTCACATGATTTTCTGCCTTATAATCATGTAAGTTAGTGACAGAGTTGGCAGTCCCAATTACTGTCATTAAGTGAGGATTACCTGTACTTGCTCAAAACATTCCATAATTTATTTTTTAATACACTTTCTCTAAGTCAACACAGTACAATAAAAAATTTTTTTCTCACATTCATTTTCTCAGTGATTGCTAACTCTAGTCTGGAATATTTCAATTTTCATGTTATAAAAAGTCACATAAATGCTCTACTGAAAACAAAGTGACCGCACTTGTCTCCTCTTTGCCTTAACTTCTCCCTTGGATCTGGCCAGATAAGCTGAATGGCATCAGCCTATCCAGAGAAATTTGAATTATTTTTCTGAAAATCTCTTGAGCAAGCAGTTCCACTTTCCTCTATGTACATACTGTAAACAGAATCTGGTACTGACTGCTTTCTCTTTTCTAACAATAGTGAGAGATAAACTTTAGCGCTTATCTGATATATAAAGCAGAGTGACGTGGTTGCCTCTGGCCAGCTGGAAGCAGCAACAGTGTTGAAGCTTTGTGTGCTACACAGCTACTCTCAGGTGTAGTGGAAAAAGAGCTCCAGTGGTTTCAACTGCTTAGATGCCTGGTATTTCAGGGTTAGGGTTAGCCTGCTCCCCCCACTTCCTTTCCTATTCTTTCATGATAGTTTTAACCTGAGCAAAGGTGAGTTTCCTAGTAAAAAATGTTCCACTGTAGTTATGTTACCCTATATCCCAAATGGAAAAAGCAAACTCATCATTCACATTTAAGAAAATGAATTACTTTAGATTGCAAGCCCTAGTGAACCAAATAGGACTTACTTCTGAATAAGCGTACCTTGAACAGCACCGTAACCTAGATATACAGTAATTTGATTCTAAGACGTATCACCATGTTGTTTGCATGGCTTCTCTTTGGACTAGGACATGGGACTGATTCTTCATATCATCACAGCAAGCAGAGATAACAAACGTTTACTTGCTTTGAGAAAACAAAAGGAACTTTTAAGGCCTACACTCCAGAACACTGTTTAGCCAGATGTAATCCCTACTGCAGAGGATCAGAACCCCACTGAAATCGCTGGGCATTACTCCTGAGTTGAAAACTTCAAAGTAGCTTACTTCACTTTTTTTTAAATTTTAAACCACTTAGGAGCCACTTATCAAGGGAACTCACAGCAAGACTCCATTGTTGAAGATCGGCTTAAAGATTGCAAAGCAACCCTTCTCCCCTGCTGAGAAATACCACAAATCTATGCCTGGGTTTGGGATTTAGACAGGAAATCTAAAGCGGCAATCTGCCATTTTTCAGAACAACTGCTGAAAGTACCAGGCCACGGCTGTTGTTGGCCCTTTGGTTCTGTTTCTTAATGGATCAAAACTGCTACGTTAAATTTTGATAGAGGTGTGTTCCCCGGGTGCAGCTCACTGTACAGCCCTCTCCTGAAAAAGCAAGTTTTCTACAGGTCAGCAGTGGGGTTTGCGTTCTGGTAAATGGGTACAAGAGCCTTGTTGAAAGTGAAATTGGAGAGAGGTGGGCTTTCTTTTTAGATTTTTTTTTATCCCACCTTTATTTTTTTGTTAGATTTTTTCATCCCACCTTTCTGATTTTTATAAATAACTCAAGGCAGTGAGCATACCTAATACTCCTTCCTCCTCCTATTTTCCCCGCAACAACCACCACCTTGTGAGGTGAGTTGGGCTGAGAGGGAGAGCGACTGGCCCAAAGTCACCCAGCCGGCTTTCGTGCCTGAGGTGGGACTAGAACTCGCCGTCTCCTGTTTCTAGCCTGGAGCCTTCACCACCAGACCAAACTGGCTCTTATCTGAGAGCATCAGAGTTGCATCTGGTCAGCTTCCAAGAAGCGTCCGCTGCTCCCTTCTTTTTTAAAGCTTGCACCCACTCACCGAGTCACCAGAGGATTTCCCTTGCCCCGGGACAGCAGGACCATGCTGCAGGGAGGCCGGGGTCGGCCTCTCGCTCCAGCCGCCTCTACATACGCCAAAAGGGGCGCGGGACACATGAAGAGGAAGAGGCGAAAGGAAGCGGAGCCGAGGCTGCACCGGCGCTGCCGTCACGTGGAAGTTGAGCGGACACGCTCCAGCAGCCGGCTCAGCGGAAACCTGCCACAGCCCCCGCGGTTCTTCTCGGTTGGGCTCCTCGAGCAAAGGGGAAATTACAGATGCTTAATTACACTGCCCGCCCGCGGTGCTGCTGCTGCAATCTTTCCAAAGGCAGCGAGGTTTGTATACTACACCGTGCGCTTTTAAGGGGACAAAGCCATACCTGCGCTGGGCAGTTGCGATCAAAAAGAAGGCGCGAGAAAGGCTTTAGGACTTATGTCACCTCTTTCCCCCGCCTCGGCGTGGGTTCAACTGTCACTCCTGGGGCACGCCGCGAAGGTACTTTCGCAGCGCTTCCTGCGGCGCTGTAGGGTGAATAGTGGCCCGCTGGCAGGGGCTCCTGCTTCCTCCGCCGCTGAAGATCCACCCCCTTTCTAGAAAACCTGGTCCTTTGGTCCGATCCCCCCCGCTTCCATCCCCATCGAGCGGAGCGAGGATTTTTTCCCCTTGCTGTAACATCAGACTAGACCGAAACGCAAAAAGAGAAGGGGAATGGAACTTTGTTAGGGTCGCTGTTTTTTGCGCTGTGCTATTGGCCAGCCGGGAAGTGGCGCGGGGAGGGGGGCGCTGACCAATAAGAGGCTCCTGGAAGGGCAAGATTGGGG